GAAGAGCTGGGATATAGCAAAACAGTCTGTCTGTGGATGACAATATATATATATAATCTTTAGAGTTTTCAATGCAAAAATCATAATTCATCTATACATGTGTGTGTGTCTGTGTGTGTATCTATCTTTAGAGTTTTTTCAATGTAAAATCATAACTCTCATGTTCATTGTATTTGCTTCTCCACCCTATATATATATATATATATATGAAATAAAGATATATATTTTTAGATATCAAGAACAGTATTGGGGAAATTGTATGACAATGTGGAAAAAGTTTACTTGTGACATGTTTTGTCCTTCAGGACTTCATTGGACTAAATTTGTGATGTTGGTAGGATTACACATGTACCAGACAGAAAGCTGCTGGGAATTTTTTTTTTTTACCTAGCTGAATTCATTATTTTTTTTTTCTTTTTCTTTCCATCATTTTTGTAAGTAGGTATTCCATACTGTGATATCAGAAGATCTGACAGGAATGGTGAGATGTAACAGCCAAGGCACAAATTTACTGGAGATAACCTTGCGATTAAAGTTCTCTCTAGACATTTACATCATAGTATATAGTAGCATTTTTTAATGTCAAAATTGTATCAGTCTCATTATGATAGGTGACCAATGCATTTGACATATTATTTTGTAAAATGTCCCTTTTGTGTTCATATAATCTTTTATTTAGATTCCTTGAGGTTTCTTCTATTTATTTTTTGTAACAATTATTACAGGCAATGGAGTAAACTACTTCTTCAGGTTTTAGTTTATTGTTTTGTTTACTCAGTTTTTTATTGTTTTGATGTATTAGTACCAAATTTTATGTTGAATTTAGATTTTTTTTTTATTGTAGATGTGATAGAATTATTAAGCAGAATAATGTATCTTTTTGATTCATTGGGTTTCTTTGGAGGGGCTGTTTTTTTGTTTTTTTTTTGGAATATTTTATGGGCCTTTTGTTTTGCATTGAATATAAAATATTTAGGGTACTGGAGAAGTTTGAAAGTGTTTTCAATATACTTCTCCTCTTCATAATGAGACTGACCACAATTTTGCCATAAAAAATGCTATTCTGATCAAAGGAGAAAATAATTCACTATGATGTAAATGTTTAGAGAGCGCCTTAATTACAAGATCATCCATAGTAAATTTTCACTCTGGCTTTCACAATTTCTAGCAGATTTTTTAACATCATAGTGTGGAATACCTACTTAAAAAGGTGATGAAAAGAAAAAGAAAATAACTCTAAATGAATTTGGCTTGATAAAAAAAGAAAAATCCCCAGCACCCCTCTGTTGTGCACATGTGTAATCCTACCAACATCACAAATTTAGTCCAATGATATCCTGAAGGATGAAATGCATCACAAGTAAATTTTTCCACTTTGTCATACAATTTCTCAAGTATATATATATATATATATATATATATATATATATATATATATATATATATATATATATATATATATATATATATATATATATAGAGAGAGAGAGAGAGAGTTTTTGTTGTAAAATAGAAACTCGTATTTGTTGTATTTCTTTCTCCTGCCTATATATATATATATATATATATATATATATATATCATTAAAGTTAGATATATATATATATATATATATATATATATGTGTGTGTGTGTATCTCTTTATAGTTTTTTGTGTAAAACAGCTAGTTTGTTGTATTTCTTTCTCCATATATATATATATATATATATATATATATATATATATATATATATATGAAAGAAAAGCTGCAAATGTTTTTGCTTATAATATGGATTTTATATTTTTTATTTAATTTTTCTTTTAAATATATATTATACTTTATTTTTCATATTTTTTGTTACATGTGTTTCAGGTCTTGTGACCATCATTAGGCAAAGAATGGTTATTTCCACATATTATTTTTAAAAATTCCTTTAATTCTTTATGTTTTCCTATGTTTAACCATTGTCTTTTGTGTGTGGTAGTAATCCAAATTCTTCTTGTAATAAAACAATTAGGATTGGTCAGAGAAAGGTGAAAGGAAGGAAGTCTTTGTTCTTATTTTCAATGACCTCTGTATATCTTTTTAAACCCATCTCTCTTTTTGTGTATAGTGTGTGTTTTGTTAGTATGTGTATTTAGAAAAATATGGTAAATTTGAAAATTTTTAGTGACATGTTTTATCCGTTAGGATTTCATCAGACTATTTTTGAAAGAATATTTTTTCAATCTTGCCAAATCCATCTGTATTCTTTTTCTTATCCTTTTTCTCTGATTATCCCATATTGTAACAACAGAAAATCCACCAAAAATATTCTTTCTAAAATTTTGAAACTACCTGCATCTCTTGTTTTGTGCACATGTGTAGATGTGACAACACCAGCAATGCCCCGTCTGATGAAATTTTAAAGAATAAAACATGTCACTAAAATTTTTCAAATTTATCATATTTTTCTAAATACACATGCTAACAAAAACACAATACATGAAAATGGTGATGGATTTAAAAAGATAAAAATGAAATAATATCTGGAAATAACCATTCTTCACCTGATGATAGTCACAAGACCTGAAACCCGTGTAGCAAAAAATATGGAAAATAAAGCATAACATATATTTTTAAAAAATTAAATAAATAAATAAAATATCCACATTAGAACCAAAAACATTTACAGCTTCTCTTTTCTACTATATACACCTTTCTCTCATTGGAACAACTTTAATCTTTTTTTATATATATATATATATATATATATATATATATATATATATATATATATATATATATATATATATGGTGAACTCTCGCATCATATTCAATGTATGAGGGTCAAACAGTTCAGTTCCTAGGAACTGACAGCATGAAATCAGCACATATGATTTGATTATAGTGGTGAAGGATTTGTGCAGAACCAACCACACTTTTTGAAGGGCTAAATACTGAGACCTGGTGCTCTATGTGCCACAAGGTCCCCAAATGACCCTCCACAGGTTTTGAATTCAGAGTTGTCCTTCTATTAGACCAGTTACCATCCAAAGCTATAGAACCCACTCTGTCCTGCTATTTACCAATAGCAGAAGGGAGAAAAAGAGGATTAATACCTTTCCCAAGGGTATTAGCATGTAAGTGAATACAGTGGATTCAAATGGAATTTGAACTTGGCTCTCCAATTCCACAATTTGAGCCACTATCCACTACTCCACCTACACACACACACACACACACACACACACATATATATATATATATATATATATATTACAGCAAAAAAAAAAATTTCCTCAACATAGAGATGGTCTATTTCAAGTCGTTCCATACACAGCTATCATTAGCCTCTAGGATTTCATCAGACTATTTTTGGAAGAATATTTTTTCAATCTAGCCAAATCCATCTGTATTCTTTTTCTTATTCTTTTTCTCTGATTATCCCATATTGTGACAACAGAAAATCCACCAAAAATATTCTTTCTAAAATATTCTTTCAAAAAATTTTGAAAATACCAGCATCTCTCATCTTTGTGCAGGTGTAGATGTAGCAACACCAACAAGGCCCAGTCTGATGAAATCAGGCTTAGAGGCTGATGACAGCCATGTACAGAATGGCTTGAAATAGACTATCTCTATGTTGAGTTAATTTTTGTTTTTTTCTTGTAAAAAATACATATGCTCTGTTAAAATAAGAACATCAAGCTCTCTGTGAATCAGTTTTAATAATTAATATTACTAGGATCCATCCAGATTATATTCCAACAGATTGATTATATATATATATATCTTTAGAGTTTTTGGTGTAAAACCATATTTCTTTCTGGTTGGAGAAAGAAATACAACAAACACAAGTTGCAATTCTACATTGAAAACCCAAAGATGCAGGGATATTTAGCTTTGATTCTTTATTTTTGATGTCCAGTGTATAACATACATTATCCTGCTTTCTATTGCTTTTGTTTCTATTTTTATTGGTATTGTTTTTAAATATCCCATTAGTCTTGGAGAGGAAAGATATTGCATGTTCCTGAAAAATAAATTTATTGTGGAAGATTCCACCCAAAATCAATGCATTTTCAATACGCTTAATAGCCTTAATAAATTACTTTCTCTTTTAATTAAAACAGCATTCTTTAAGTTGAAATTATGGTCAAATCTATTACAATGAGCATCTAATACATTGAGTGGATTGCTTTGCAAAAGACCCCTTTTGTTTTCATATAATCTTTTATTTAAATTCCTTGATGTTTCAGTTAATTTTTTTTCTTAAAATTTTTTTTTCAGTCTGTTTTTGTCAATTTGTAAACTATTTCATAAAATTTTTGCTGTTTATTTTATAAATTCCTGCTTCAGGTTTAACATATTTGCAGTTTATTTTGTAAATTCCTACTTCAAGTTTTAGGCATTTATTAAAAAAAAATACATATTTATGTACATTGCATTTTTATATATGTGGATTATTTATATAAATCTTAGCTCTATTTTTACATATTTTACAGTCAAAGATTCTATTCAATGCCAAACAATACAATAAGAAATTCAAATTTTCCTCCCTTAACCACAATTTTTATTTGAGAAGTGACAGTCATAATAAAAGAATTCTGCTTTATAAATCATTGACAGAAAAAAAAACATATACAAGGAAGGCAAAAGAAATAGAATGCATTTTATTGGTAACCTGGTCTTATTACTTCATAATGAAATATTCCATTGTTATGATAACATGTCATATGTTCACTTCAAATGGTATAGATTGATTGATTCATTTTCTTCAGCTTTCAACCCTTTGCAGGTTATTTTAAAACCAGAAAATATTTTTAGATTATAAGAAATTTTTTTGAGGTAATAATGGTATACTGATACAAGTTTTGCTAATTAACCCATAGCTTGGGGGGAAAGACGTGGATTTATGCCTTTCCTAAGAGTATTTGCACATAAGTGAATATAACAAACACAACTGAAATTGAAACTTGGCTCTCTGTTTAACAATTCCAAGCTGTTGTTCATTCAGCCACCCAAACATCGAAGCTTATGGCACCTGGTATTCCCAAGCAATCACCCATTTTGGTACTGACCAGGCTCAACATTGCTTAATTTAGATGATCATAAGGGAACCAATGTTTCAGTGTAATATGGTCGTAAACCCCTCAAATGGTATAGAGTGACAACTCATGTTACCAGAACAACAGGTGAATGACCAATAAATATATACCATATATACTCATGTATCATGTGACTTTTGAAAACCTAATTTTGAAGCTAATTTTAAGTGGGGGTCTCATCATACACGAAATATAAAATTAGCACATATACCTGGCTACGCCATTGACCAAACTATATATCCACTTACTGTAGTCAAAAAGTATTGCTGTATTTAAAATAAACATGTTTTTGATAAAACTGATGTTTTACTTAACAGTATCCAATAATAATGCATGTAATATTCACATATTAATATCATATTATAAAATACAAATATAGCAAATATTCATCTTTTCCATTGTTTACATTTATAAGATATTTAGCTGTTTCTCGTTTGCTTTTTTATGGCTGTATATGTTTAGTTTACACAACAAGCATAGCATTAATAATGATTCTTTTATCATTCTCTTTTACTTTATTAAATTATTTAACTAGAAGATGGGATAAAGAGATAGAGGAAAATAGGTTATTCTATTGTGATTTGGTCTCTCAAAAAAGCAACTTGCATCATACACAAGATACATTTTATAAGTGAAAATTCTGGGGTTGCATGATACACAAGATTGCATGTTATATGAATATATATGGTACTTGCAATTTGTTTTCTAAATATTAAATTTTCATGTTATGCATTGCTTTGAGTTGGGGGATATCTTTAAATGCCATCAGTAAGAATTTTCACTGAAATTAGCTTGCAGAAAATTATTTTATGCTGTTCTATTTCTTGAAGTTAGTCTTCAAAATTTGGCCTGTATTTTGGTTACTGTAATCAGGAGTAATCTCCCTTGTTTTATGATTACCTCCCTTTGGAGAACTCTTTTGTTTGTAGAGAACTATAAATAGTCACTACCCTGGTATCAATTATTGTAAGCAAAATAAAAATTCCTTAAGCCTACTCTTGCTCTTTTTGTTATTACAGTTATATTGTTCATATTGTTGTGGGCCAGTGTATACATTTCCTAACTTATTGGAGCTGTTAGTAACATTGGTGTTAGGGTTGAGAAATAAACATGTCTCCTGAAATACCCACAACAAAATGGCAGACTCGGGATGTGAGTCCACATAAAGAAATGTAAAAAAGGAACTAGAAGAACCTTTATATATGTACAAATAAATGATAATGTAATAAAAACAAAGGTATACAAGTGATAAAGACAAAGATATGTGTGTCAAATGAATTTGGAAACCTAATGGTCCAAAGTATGTGTAGTGAGTGAATGTCTGTATGTACATGTGTGTGTATGTATTGTTCATGCATTTCCCAAAGGGAACATATATTCTCCATGAGAAATTTACATGTTGATGAGTAAACAGAAGAAGTAAGAAGAGAGTGATAAAAAATTATTGCTGCATATTTATAGTCCTGAGAGTGTCTCCTAGTAGTGGTTTTTAAAACTAGAAGGAGATAACCCAACAATATGTTTTATTTTTCAATATGAGTAGCAGCACAACAAATATATTAGTTCAGAACAGAAAATAAAAATTACAGATCCCATTAGTTGTAATGCGGTTGGTTGTTGGGTATATGTTAATGTCTATTATCCCATTATTATATATATTTGTAGTAGTAGAAATGGTGGAGTAATGGATAGCGGCTTGGATTGAGGAATTGGAGAGCCAAGCTCGATTTCCAGTCAAATCCATTACATTCATTTACGTGCTCATACTCTTGGGAAAAGTATGTATCCTTTTTTTCTTCCCCTAGCTATGGGCAAATAGCAAGACAGACCTGGTTCTATAGCCTTGGATGGCAACTGGTCTACCGTAGAAAGACATGGCAACCTACTATGGGAAAAATCTGCCTTGTCAGTCATATATTGAATCACGCACGGCACATAACTGATTGAGTTGATAGAGGAATCCTTTTCACTTTTTTTTTATGCTGAAAAAATGAAATGAATAAAAATTTTCAACAATATAACAACAATAAGACTTGAGACATTAATAACAAGAATATGTATTTTTCTTTTTCGTAATGTGAATTACAGGTATTGGCATTGTGTGTGTTAAAAATGTTTTCAGTTTTACTGTCTCTTTTTAAAAGTTTGTGCTCACATGTTTTTGGTTGTTCTAAGAATTTTGTTGTTTAGGATAGCGTTTGAGATCAGCAACTTTCAATTCTCCGGAGTGATGGTGGTACAATGTGTCATGTTCCTTTTTACCACTGCTACTGCTCCTCTAGTTTAGCCTACTGTCCTGACACTACTCACTATTGTGATGGAAGGGTCATTTTTATAATCAGATTTTAGAATGAAGAAATATCTTTCTCATCTTTCATCACTTGTGGCAAGGTTGATTTTAGGATGATGGATTTTTTTTATCTTTATGTCAGGGATGATGAAATATCCTTATTTTCTATCATCACTGATGTAAGGTTATTTTTAGGATAATGAAATATCATCATCATTCTGGATAATAACACAATCTTCAGTCAAGCTCTTGGTATATGGTATCAGTAGATGCAATTCAGTCACATGTACTATATAAAAGGTGATCTTGCATGGTTCAAATTGTTTATTAAAATTGCTATTAATCCTTAATGTTATGTAGAACCCCACTCATACACAACTAAAGTAATTTCCCAAAATTAAGAAATAAGCAAAAAGTATGCCCAATGCTGTCTAAATTTCAAGAAACCAAGTGTGTTCTTATCATAAAACATTTTGATCTAACCTGGTTAAACCATCCTGGGTATGACAATAAACTACATCCGTGTCCTGGGTAAGACGATAAACTATGTCCAACAACAATGCCTCTGATCAGGAGGTTTTGAGGAGCATGGAACCACCTCTTAATTGCTGGTGTTCCCATGTCCAACCTGACCCAGGGTGGTAGCACCTGTTAGGGTTCCAGCTATGGGCAAATAGTTAAACCTCACTATGAAAGTGCAAAAATAATTTTAATACCAGCAATGACTTTTTGGAAAAAAAAGTTTCCAGCAATACGTTTTGGGAAAAAATATCAACAATATATTTTTGAAGGAAAAACATTATTAACAGGAGTGCATTATTACCAGCAGTATATTTTTTTACCCCAAACTGAGGTCAAAACACTATGAAAGTGTAAAAATAGGTTTTAATACCAGAAATACTTTGTAAAAAAAGTTATTATCAGCTATACTTTTTTGAAAAAAATATTACAAGTGATATATTTTTGAAGAAAAAATATTACCTAAAATAGATTTTTTATGGAAAAAATTTTATCAGCAATACATTTGAAAAAAAAATATTACGAGCAATAAAAATTGTCGGCATTAAATAACCCATTGAGGTTGATATGCCGTAAAACAAAACAAATCAAAGTTCCTCAGAAAATCAAATTTCAGCATTAAATGACTCATAAAGAGTTGATATGCTGTTAAACAAATCAACTATCAACTAACTAACCTAGTTAAAATTAATTTCATTGTTTAAGAAAATAAAAAATAGGGATGTCAACTAAAACATGTGTACCAACTAAAAAAAAAATAACAATCACATTTTAAAAAATCTATTTAAAAATCATTGATGGTGTAGAGATACAGAAGGTGATTATCTCCCTGTGGTTGAGATAAGTGACATGGATCACATGTCATACCAGTCAGTGATGTCACTTCATACAGTGATGAAAATAGGCTGTCATTAAGTTTGTTTACAGCAACCAAACCAAGTGGTTGCTGAGGCTAAATATGCCTCTCCTTGCAGCTTACAAGCACATGATACCATTTCTCTTTGAGAATATATCTTTTCCAGATATAGAAAGAAACTCCACCTTGCAGTCCCCATTTTAGGAAAACCCAAGACTCGCAATTCCCCTTTGTGAAATATGAAATATAATAGATGAATCCATCCTGTTTGAATCTAAGCATGGATTCTCCAGAAACACAAAAGAATTATTATCCATATTATATGCAAGAGCCTTCCATGTATATATATATGTGATATACTTTTCTCCACATGGGACATGTCTATATATGTCTATATAGTTTTGTGTATGTCTTAGTGGTATAAAAGTCTCTCAGAGAACCAAATATGTTTGTCATTCTTTTTTCTTTCAGTCTTTCCATTCCATGCATGAAATACAGTGTTACTATACCAAGGATATAATAATGCCCATAATGGGGAAAATACAAATGGGAGAATAAACAAGGACACATGGCACAATGGATAAAGGCATTGATTACATCCAGTGACAGGACCCAAAGAGTGTGAGTTCAATACCCGGTTAAGGCAGTGGAGGACTTGGAGAGGGGAATTAACAGGAGATAACTGATAACTGACATACTGAGTATATATCATTCCATGTCAACTTAGAATATTTACTCAACAATATAAAAAACTATGTAACTTAATATATTCCTTGGTCACAAAACTTAATCTTTCCTTCTTAGCAAAGTGATATTCCTCATGTTAACGTAACAAAGGCTGCTAAAATATTGTTATATATTTCTTTAGATATTTTTTATAATTTAAAAAGACATTCTCTCTTTCATAAGATGAAAAATACATCGATAAAAATCTTAGATTAATCATGCAGAAAATGTAACCAAATAGTTGTTTATTAAGGTCTGGATTGTTTTAGCTTTCCAAAGATATTTTTTACTTTTAATGATTTAAAAGAAAAATTCTATCTTACATGTAAGACTAGAATAAAATTGTGTTGATAAAAATCCTTACTCATGCAAAAAATTTAACGAATACAAATGAAAAATTATTTGAATGCTGCATTTTTTCATGGTACTGCTAAACTATCATTGCAAGATGCACCAGCAACTCAATAATTTCTTTATAGCTGCTTAAAGCATTTGACATATAAGATAATAAATTAAAATATCTTTGAAGATCTGGTCTTTTGTTTGTTTTGTTTTGATTTACAGCATATCAACCTGAATGGGTTATTTAATGCTGACAAAATTTTTATTGCTGGTAAAATTTTTTTCCTTCAAAAATCTATTTTGGGT